CGGCTCGGACGGCCGAATAAAAACAGTTCTTCGCAGACGCTTGGTCCCCCCGGATCTCCATGATGCCCTCTGGCGTGGCGAACTTTAACTTCTGGTGGAGAGTGGAGTGCACCGCTCCCAACGCGTGCAGCCATGTTCGCCCCATAATCACGTTGTAAGGAGAGTCCGTGTCGATCACAACAAACTCTGTGTCGATGACGAAGGGACCAGTGGCGACCGGTAATGTGATTTTCCCCACGGGCAAGGCGAAAGAGCCGTTGAACCCGATGAGGGGTGTCCTGATTTTGGTTAGGTCTTTGGGGCCAAAGCCCATCCGCTTCAAAGTCTCGAAGTACATCACCTCCGAGGAGCTCCCTGAATCTATCAAAATTCTCTTGACATCGAATTTCCCTATCTTTAGGGTCAAGACAAGGGCGTCGTTATGAGGAATCACCACGCCTGTCAAATCCGCGTCGGAGAACGTAATGCCAAGCTCACCCATCCTGGCCCTTTTACTTGATGGCCCCACATCTCCCTCGGCTACCTTTCTTGTAAAAGCTACCCTCTTGAGGTCGGATTCGAGCTCCTTGGACGTGGGGCGCTCCAGCGGACATACATGGATGACGTCTATGACGTTGTCCGGTTCCTCGGTCGGGGCAAGGGCTCGTTTCTCTTCTGGCCTAGGCTCTATGTATTCTTTCAAATGTCCGTCTCGGACCAAGCTTTCCAAGAATGACTTGAACACCCTGCAGCTCTCGGTGCGATGCCCGACATCCCGGTGATATGAACACCTAACTTTTTGATCACGGGTGGAGGGGTCGCTCTGCATCCTGGGCGGCCATTTGAAGAACGGCTCGTGTTTGATTTTATGGAGCAACCTGAAGATGGGTTCCTTGAAGACGGTGTGAACTCCTCTGGACGAACCCCCTGGATGGGGTAGCAATCCCTTTCGGGGAATATCTTCGCGCTCTTTCTCCTTTCTCTTGGATTGGAGGGCTCGGCCTTTGTTGCTTCCCATCTCGTCCTCGACCCTCGAGTACTTGTTGATCCGGGCCATCAGTTCCCCCATATCCGAGGGAGTCTTCTTGGTCAGGGATCGGTACAGGTCCGTGTCCCTCGCCAAGCCGAGCCGGAAAGATGCTGCTGCCATGACCTCCGAGCATCCCTCGACCTCATTGACCTCTTCCCAGTATCGGATGGCGTACTGGCGAAGAGTCTCGGATTCCCTCCGTCTGAGGGTCAACAATGATCCAATGTCCTTGGGGCGCTTACTCCCCGTGATGAATCGGGTTAGGAACTGCCTTGTCAATTCTTTCCAGGACCCAATACTGTTTGGGGGAAGCGTCTCGAACCACCTCATCGCAGAGTCCCCCAAGCTCATAGGGAACACCCGGCATAGAAACCGTTGGTCCGAATGATAGAGGGACATCATCTGCTTATATTGTCTGATATGGGCTTCGGGATCGGACCGCCCATCATAGGTTTTGAACCGTGGCACGACGAACTTTCTTGAGACATCCATCTCACTGATTTCCCTCGTGAAGGGTGTTTGCATGACTTCGTCCTCGGCCTCGTCCTGGACAGTCTTACCCTTTCTTCTGGAGTCTAATCGGGCTCTGAGATCTACTTCTTCCCTTACGGGATGCCTCCTGAAGTCCCTGGGTTCATCGGTAAGCCCCTCGTTTCCTGGGCGTCGTGTAGATTGGGTTGAGTCCTCCTCGGATTCGTCTCCCTTCCTCCGTCTGGACAAACCTCGCCGGAGGTCGTCCAGGGCCAATGGCCTCGCTTTCCTGGAATGGTTGTCAAGATGATATTCGTCGGCTCTGGGTCACTTCGGGGCCCTGGAGCTTTCTGCTTTGTGGTCTAGGTGGTTTCTTAGATCCTTTGTCTCCGCCTCATGGACGGGGAGTCCTCGGGAAAGGAATGAATCCCTCGACCCTCCGCCTGAGGCGGCAAACTCGTCGAGCCAGCTAAGGACGTTTACATTGTCCTTCTCCAGCTGACGTAATCTATCGCCAAATTTTTCTTCAATCACCTCTGCCAGCTGACGGGCCAAGGGGGCTGATCCTCCTGACCTGATCCCCATACTGGTTTGAGGGGTTACCCCCCTTGACCGAGTAGAGACACTTTTAATCGTACTGGTGCGATCCCTCCCTCCATGATGGCAGGGAGCTTGTAACTCATGACTCCTTTGGTGGGTTCCTTTCCCTTTCTGTCTGGTGTTCACCATGGTCACTGTTCTTTATAGAGAAAAAATTAGGAAAACTACTCGTTTCCCACAGACGGCGTCAGATTGTGCGTGCAAGATCCTGCACAATATAAAAAACGGGAACAGCTCTCTCCCTTGGTGAACTTTGCGTGAACCGGCTGAGTGACTAACCACGCTGCTTTGGAACAGCCTGCGAGGTCAGATGGTAAACTGGAGCGGCAACGGGAGACCCTGGGTGAGAGGGAGAACGATCCAGTAAGGCTAAAAAAGGATCCTGGAACAAAGAGGAACAGGTTAGAAGGGCGCCGGAGTGTGTTCCAGCGTATCCCCTCCGACGGTCTAGTCAGTCTTTGAATGAAAGAGAGGAAGAAGAAAACACTGAGAAAACTGTATTGTAGTAGAGAGTTTGTGATTGCATACCCGCTTTGTCTTTTGGGAGGAGTATTTATACCTTAAAAGCTCATGATTGCTGTCAGTGTGGTCAGTAGGTGATCATTAGGCACAGGTAGCGTGTGTATTGATTTTGATGAGGAATGTCTTCTCTAATTGACTGCTCGGGGTCCCGAGCAATCAATGCTGAGTCGTCGGGATGCCGACGGTACAATATGCTTCTTTCGGGAAGGATGCAATAAATGCTCTGTAATAGGAGCATTTATTGCCTTTCATATCCGAACCTTACCGCATTGAATGCGGTCTCGTCAACAGAAGGGTGCAATTAATTGTTTGCTTCCCCAAGCTGTGTGTCAGTAACGACGTGCAGTTTGTCTGTCTTTGATGTAACATCATTTGCCACACGTCCATCCCTTATTGGCTGTGACTACTGTATTCCGGTATGTTCTGACATTACTTGTGTAAGACGAGGTCATGATGAGCAGCCTAGATTAGCCTAGGCTAGTGACCTATATGTCAATAGCTTATCTCGGAGTAGAGGAAGCGCCCAGGATGGAGCAACCCTCGGCACCGAGGAAAGGCTCATCTCGGGGACCGAGGGAGGTATGCGACCGAGGACACGTGTTGTTTGTACAATATACTGAACGAATGTCCTGTATGAGGGTACCTCGGGGGCGAGGACATGCGTTCGCCGATGGCGCTTGGTCCAAGCAACAGTGTTTTTGACAAACCCCGAGGACACGTGTCTTCATCATAGGGCGTTTCAAAAGAGTCCCATCACATTATTAATCTCTAGTTGCATAGACCGTAATAGTCAAGGTATAACCATTGAGTTCTCAACCTCCCACTTATCATAAAATGGATCACCAATCTTCTGTTCTTCAGTTTTTCCAGTCAAGTAATCCATCTTTCCCTTACTCCTAACAAACAATGTAGTTGACTGTCACCCGACAATTATCAAGCTTCACTGTCGTAATTTGTAGGTTGATATTTTCAGTCTGAACTCCAATATGACTTAAGCCTCTTTCAAGATTTTCTGTTTTCAGCCTTCTTCCACGAATTCAAAATAATTAATCTGCGAATTCTGTAATCATAATTCACAAATTGCACTTTCTTAGAATTAACTCCACGAATACCTTAAAAAAATAGCCTAACTATTAAGCTGGACCGACGCCCCAACCAAACTTTTTAGCGCTCCATTGCACCAAAGTTGAGACTCAATCTTTGCTTGCTTTCTAACGCACCAGTAAGCCGTGGTATTTATAGCTGTTAAGTCATTCCTGTTTCTGATAGCCTACCGATGTGGGATGACTGTTGTGTTGTTTATAGCTGTCAACCCATTTAACTTGGTGATAGTTCGGGATGAAATGAATATGAAAGACACTTAGCCTACACTTAATCTATTAAGCACTTATTGAAAAACAAAGATAAGGGTAAATTTGAAAGAAAAAATATTAATTATGTTTTGATTTCATAAAATGACAGATATTGTGGAACAAAAAAAATAGGTAAAATGATAAATATTTAAGAACGGATGGAATATTTAATAATCGTATCAATTTTAAAATTGTATCGTGTCGAGTTGATATCGAAGGATTATAGTTCACAGCCTTACAAAATATCACTTTCACATATATATATTCTGTAAAATTTGATTGATTCTCTGTCCATGTATTGTCACCCTTCAGAAAATATATGCCTTGTTGAAATGGAGCAATCCAAGCAATATGCATTCACAACTGAAAAACATGTCGCGACAGAACCAGATATTTTTAAATTGGGGACCAAGTAAAAAATATTAATCGAAAGTGGTAATATTTTGGGGGACCAAATTTTATTTATTTATTTTTGTGAAATTTAGTGATAAAATTTTTTATTTTTATCCCCCCCCCCTCCACCCAGCCTCAACATAACTCTAATCGAAGGTTTTGACAATTTGAAGGTTTTTGGGTGAAAATAACATCAAAAATTGATTCGGAGTGCTAAAAAACACTTAGGGAAGGTATTTTCGGGGTCAAACACATTTTTGAGAAAATATGATAAGAAAATGATCAGTTAAAAAAGATAATAAAATATCTAGGAAATATATCTAATCTCGAAAAAATAATCAATATAAATCTGGACACCATGTAACAAGAAAAAAATAACAACTATCATATCAAAAAAAAATATAAAAAATCAATATCATATTAAAAAATATTACCATTGAGGGTCAAGTTATATCTTGCAAATAACGAGTTATTCCTATTCACTATTGGTTTTGAAATTTTCGCGATAAAAAATGGATATATGTAGATTTTCTATTAGAGAAGTTCTATAAGAATTTGATAAATTAAAAAATTTATCAAAAAATATAATTTAAATATTCATACTTCAAAACCCGCTTCGTTCATCGTTCATTGTTAGAGTTTAAAGTCACGTTTTCGAATATTGTAAGAGTGATTGATGAAAAAAAACAACGGTTTGGTTTGCGAGATGGGTTCGGAAAGCGGGTAAAGACTAATTACATTTGAGGTATCTGATAATTCTGGTATGGCTGGGAAGGGAGAGGAACTTGTGTATAAATGGGAGAAAGGGGCCCAACGTCAGCCACTAGAACCACTGTCCCAATATCTCACCTTGGGATCATCATATTGATTCCATTTCTAGTTTCTAAACTCTCTCTTCCAAGATCTCACTCCCAACCCATTTCTGTATACAGTTTCTAAATCATCTAACTATAAAAGCTCAAATTGTAAGTCTCTCTCTTTCTCTCTCTGGTTGTGGGTATGTGCGTGTGTGTGTTTGTGCTTTATTTGTATTACAAACATCTGTTCTTGCTGGGGAGTCTTGAAATTTTTTGTGGCAAAAGAAAACGATCTGTTTCGATTTATTTATTTCAATTCTACAGCTGTATTTTCTGGGTTTTAATTGGTTGGGTGAATAAATAATTATAAGTTTAAATTCTTTTCTTCTTCTCCTTCTTGATTTGGTTCTGATCTCCCTACTTTGATCATTTTGGGCACTTTTGCTGGTTTATTTGTGTTGGATCTTCCAATTGGAAATGGTTCGATATTGGCTGTTTGTTTCTTTATTCATTGATGGATTTGAAGTCTGAACACACTGATACTGTCTGCCATATGTTTGATTCTATTTTCAAGAACTAAAATCCCTCCCCCCCCCCTCCGGGGCGCCCCACCTCCACCATAAAAGAAGAACAACAGAAGAGATCAAAAACAAGTTGAATTACTAGAAATGGAATCGGAATTTTTTTTTTTTTCAATTTTGAAGAACAGCAAAATTGGTATGAAAGTTTCAACTTGTAGTTTGTGTTTTTCATAGAACTTGGATTAACTGGGTTTTGATTGTTATTGTTTTTGCCAAACGAAATTGGGTTTTGGAATGTGGACATGTTCTACCATAAGTACGTGGAGTTCTGTATCACCATATTTTCTAATTAATCCTGGCAGACCTGCTCTGCTTGCCTAACATCAACAGGAGGCATCTATATATCTGAAGTTCTAGGGAAAATTCTGATCTTAACCATATCAACATTATTACAATGGAAAGCAGCTCTTTTGAATTGAAAAAAAGTTGGATTTTTGCTTTGAACAAAAAAGTTGGATAAATGACTGATGTTGTGTCTATTTTATTTCTTTTTCTGCACTTATTGTTGCGTTTTCTTTGCAGATCGATTGTGTTCGAGGATTTTTACTCCCATTACTTTGCTTAGTTTTAGGACTCCACCTCCGGAAAAAAGGTAATTTTGTTGTGCATCTATTGCTTTGTTTTAATCCTAAAAAAGGAGCAAATTTTATAATCAAATGGTCATTTTTGGCAAATCTTTTCATTGATTGCTGACTGAATTTGTTAATATTTTTAGCTAAATGTGCTAGCTCTGTTATTAAATTTATGCACCACTTTAGTTGCAATTTTTTCCTTGTCATACTCTAATTTTTATGATATTCGTAGCGTTTTAAGAAATTGCATTTGGTCTTCAAAAGAGAGAAGATGAATGCAAACTTGGAAGATATATTAGGTGGCATAAACAACATGGAAAACAAGTTAGCCATGCGTTGTTAGAATTTTTTTCTTAAAAATGGCATGTGTTTGGAAGCTTCGAAAAAGTTTTGCTTTTATTGTTTGGTTCCAGCAAAGCATTTTCTAAAACTTTTTGTCCTCAATTACAGAAATTTTAGAACTTGGTGTTCCTCTGATTTTGCTTTTGTAACTAGCAAAGATATTGAATAATAAGAAATTATTTCTCTTTGTAGTTGTGGGAAAATTGGCGGTTTCTGGAAATTTTGTTGAATATACTTGTCATAAACGAACTTCCAAAAAGATTATGATGCATTCTTTCTTGTTGTTTTCAGAACTTAAGAAGTTGAAGCTTTATTTGAAATCGTATCTGTGAAGATAAACCAATTTTCAGAAGCCTTTTCATCTGTATTTTGTGTTTTCAAAGGTAAATTCTGCCAAACTGAGACGCGTTTATGGAAAATATTACTTTTTTGTCTTCTTTGGTGGTTCAACGACTTATCTATTTGTGTTCTCTTCTTTTGATCTGTTTCTCCCTTGGGCTAAGAATCATTACTCCCACTTCTCTAATTAGGTTCCAAATCGAATATGGGTCTGTCACCTTATTCAACTCCAGCTGACGCAGGAGTGCTATGCGTACTCTTGGTAAATACAGCCATTTCCATCTGCATTGTCAAGGAGATAGTCCGGTCAATCCTTCACGTGGTTGGCATACGTATTGCGTCATGGGACGAGTATTCGCTTGATAGTCCCTCAAACTCGATTGAATGCCGTGGATGCCCCTCAGAATCCTACATGGAGGAGTTCAAGAACAGGACCCCAGCAATTCGGTTTGATGCGGTGTCTGGCTGTAACCGGCCTGAACAAGAGTGTTCCGTTTGCTTGACAGAGTTCAAACCAGATGCAAAGATAAACCACCTGTCTTGTGGCCATGTGTTCCATAAATCATGCCTAGAGAAATGGTTGAAGTATTGGAATGTCACATGCCCTCTTTGCAGGAATTGCATGATGACTCAAGAAGAAGAGGATAGTTGTCCAATGTGAGCAGCTTCTTCAGGAATGGTCCTCGAAGAAATTTCAGTGTACAGCATAGTAGTGGGCAGGAAATCTACATGAATGCTTTTTTTTTTTTTAAACCTATGTTTATGCCAGTGTTTTGCGTCCCCTTGCGGTGATGGGTCTCGTGACCAAAACTGATATTGTACATATTGGGAAGGATTTTGATGTTCTATGCACCTATCTTGGGTATTTGGTTTATGAAAAATCTCCTTTTTCCTCCAAATGCCTAGAGAGTATATTTGCTGCTTTGTTTGAAACCCTATGTTATTTAGACGAAAAAAAAGATTTTGATTCGTAAGTTAAGAACCCCTTCTTTCTTTATCTGATTTGAGGGGGAAAATTCCGTTAGAGTTTTTATGCTTTCATGTCTACAACTCAATTCATCCGATTACTATAATGATGAACCCAAGCCGGAATATGAACCATATTCTGAACATGAGGGCATGCACTATAGCTGACACTCCATTTTGTGGGACCTTTGAACTTCATCATAGTCAAGGAATTTAGGCAGAAATGCCTGATGAAAGTAGATCGATTTTTGTTTTTTTTCCATTCATGAGCAAGGCTAAACAGGTAGGGTTTCTGTTATAAGCCTGTAATGCTGGTATAAACATTTTTGGGCAATTTAAGCTCAAGAACATTTACTGTATTCTATGCCAAATGCCTGATTGAGGATAGAGAAAAATAGCAGCACTTCCATAAAAACACATTAACAAACCATACAAACACCAATTATACATAAAATGCAATAATGCACCAGTTTGAAATGAATTAAAAAACTATCAAGCTTCTTATGAGCAAGTTCAGAAAGACCTCTCAGATTGTGGACACAAATAAGTATGCAATTATCACACACTTCTCAGTAGAACATGAACTTCGGGTTCCATACGGCAATGATCACAGCCTACTGAGCATGCAGGGGATCACACATTCCATCTGATTTACCAGCAAGCTCGGAGAGCTTAGAGCCAACAGAGATGCTGCTGCGAGTCAGGCCAGTGTTCCGGTGGTAACGACACCTGAAAGAACCGGCATGAGTGGTTGGTGAGCAGAGGCAATTGTACCTTACACTTGATGTTTTCCTTAAGGTCACCGGCGACGATGGCGCGGAGTATGCTAACTCTGATGATTTCTTGATTGAATCTAAGCATATATGTGGCACAACTATCTTCGGCTTCTGAGGCTGTTCACCAATTCTTAGTTGCTCAGCCATCCTGTTCTGGAACTGCAGAAACTAATAAGCATGAACAGCATGATAAAGGTATTTGAAATGAGATTAGCTAATCAAACAGTTTTTCTTTCTTTCCTTTTGATATACCATGATTGAGCAATTACAAGTTTCACATATCACTGTTACAACAATGTCTGAATGAATCACAAACCCGAAAGAAGAGCAGCAAGTTTCCGGACAGAGCCTCAAGTGAAACTATATTGTTTTTAAGCATGAGATGAAATCTCGCTTAAGATAATTTAACCAAGGGATTCAGCTCTATAATGCAACTCAACAAAGTCGTATTCCAATTATTTGAATTGATTACACGAATCTTTGTCCACTATTGTGCTATATTAATATTCATATTTTCACACGTATTTTGAAATAACGCGTCATTTCAATTTTTGAGGTTTTTAAACTAAGGCTTCCATCGTTTATCAAAACAAAAGGTTTTTAGATATCCGTTCAAGGCCCAAGTTTTCAAATATTTGGTCTAACCCAGAACTTTAGGATGGAAAAGAAGGTCAAAATATCGTTCAAAACGCTTACCCCTTATGTCATCATGAAAAGAAGATTATGGTGTATGTCTTAATAATTATTTACATCAATTATCAAAATCAACAGTAGATCCAATTAATTTTAATGGTTCAGGTTCTAAGTAGATTATCCGTTAAGGTCGTTTAGTAAATGAATCAATATAAATTCGGCTATACACAACACGAACTCAAATCATACATACTTATATATGGACATAGAAATGGCAAGAAACCAACACGAAACAAAATGAGCAAAAATATTACAGCATGAATGTAGAATTACCCGACAATCGGTATGTTGCTATGTTAGATGATGTTGAGTGGAAATGCTTTCCAATGGCCTGAGATTTTCTTATCAATCTGGCGTTGTTTTGGAGCTTGATTCATGTATCAAAATTAAGACCCGGTTTTTACTCTTCTCTGTTGAGATTGGGAGGTTATGGTAAATCCTCAATTTTCCACCACATATCCTTTTGCATTTATTAGAAGAGAGAGAGAGAGAGAGAGAGAGAGAGAGAGAGAGAGAGAGAGAAGCCATGCTAAGAGGATAAGTTGTTCCACAATATCTGCATGATTATCTTTTCGTTTCTCAAATTGTACGTGTCATCTTTATGCAGAAACCATATCGTTCTGATGTCTGCAAAGAAGCATGATGATTATCGTTCCATTAAGTGAATGTTATAGAGGCTTTGCTAAGAAGGAGAACATTGAGTCCATTTCCACTATCATATGAACAAATGGTGTCTACAATTGTAAGAAGGCAGCCCCTAACAATATTTAGAGTTATTTCGGTTTGACTAAAGGATAAACTAATCATGTCATTATATCGATCAACTCTGTTAGTTGACCGTTACTCAACTAGAACTGACAGTAATTTCAAAAAAGTTCAAGGGGCAGAGTATATTTTCACTAAACTTTGGGGGACTTTGATGGATTTATTTAACAAACTGCCATTGAAAGCTGATGAGAAACCGTTTCCAAAAAGGATGCACTTTTTTCCCTTCAAATACTCTCTTGGGATAGATTCATATGAAATAGTCATCCTTAGATTCAGCAAATGGCATGTTTCAAGAACAAACATGAGCACATCCTGCTTTTCCCCCCAAACTACTGTGATTTCTAAACCTAATTCCCTTTCCAAAATGATCTCGCAAACTACTGTTATTTTAAAAGTGGGTCTACAAAACATGGTTGAGTAAATTATACTTTACCTCTGAACTACTACCCCTATTTCACTTTTGTACCCTTAGTTATAATATTTCTTACATTATACCTTAAAATATCAATTTTGTTTCATTCCACCATATGCCTAGTACAACTTTATTTTACCTCTTCTGCAACTAAATGGTTGGTAGGAAGAAAAAAGTCTGTCGGCCAGAGAAAAAAAAATTGGAGCTTAAGAAGAGCAAAATCATGGATATATATTTTTCTTAATTTTTTACCTGCACATGTGTAATAAGCAGTTGCTTATAGCAGTACAGACCACTCATACGCACATTTACCATCAAAAAATTGACATTCGTTATCAATTAGAGTGATACGAAATAAAATTGATACTTTATGGTGCAATGTTAAAAATTTTATAGTTGAAAGTGCAAAGTGAAACAAGGGTAATAGTTCAAGGGGTAAAGTGTAATGACCCAAACATGTTTTGATGGTTTTCTATTGAAATCGTGCAGGTTCAAACCACGCTTTTATAGAAACAACACTAGTTTAGAAAATAAGTTTGAAAGGATGGTCTTTGAGGAATAAAATTAGAAAATTTCCGTAGAATGGAAATTGATTCAGCCTAACCTCCATTAACCAGGTCACAGGATACAAGAGAGTGAAACCAAGTAGAACACCACGTTCAGCTATTACTATAACATGATACCAACTAATAAAACAATTGAACATCATTTTCGTTTGATTACAAGACTCGTGGGAAACTACATTGGTTCCAAACTCCCAGTCAAGACCAGAAGTTTCAAAAGCAACACAGAATGTACCTAAAGTTACTCATGGAGAGCCAAATGTAGCAGCATCAAAGACTAAAACCTCATGAATAGGGATTAGCTGGTTGAACTGCATGTGTTGATACCATCCTTGCAGTCTTTAGTGAGATCGTTGAATGTCTCAATCTGCTTCTTCCCCCTCAAGAACACTTCGGTATCAACTGAAACCCTCATGTAACCATCGAATTCTACTGGAACCCCATTATTCAGCTTTGTTGTATCTGAATACCACTCGCTGTTCTCGTCCCAGAGATCTTTGTACTCATTAAGAAAATGAGTGGAATACTTGTCTTTCAAAGGATCAAAGAAAGATGTGTCCGGTTCATTTGTGGCAATGTAGAGATTCCTCCCACCTTCAATTTTGTCCTGCAACTTTGAAAGAAGAGCTTCAGGTGAAGTGTCTACTGCAAGATTAGGCCATAGCTCCTTGTTTCTTGCCCTCTCCCCTCTGACAACGTTGACAGAATCAAAATCCCAGGTCAGCTTTGATGCAATAGGTGACACTATGCCCATCAAGCGTCTTGACTTCCATATCAAATGCCATGGCCGTTGAACAACAGACACTGTCTCTCCTTCACACACCCTGTACCAGTAATTATCTGGCTCCACACTCCCAAATTTCCTCATGATTAAAGTGTCCTTGACCTCAGATAGCCTCATCGGCGTGATCCTGAAATCCTCCACAAGATGGAGACTCAATCTGTCTTTCTGCTGCCGTTTATTCCAGTACAACCAAAATTGGCTCTGATCCAACACTGATGCTAACTCTTTCAAATGCTGAAAATCGAAATAAAACCGGAAATCCTTACCTTCCTCATCTTGACCTGACGAAGTGTAAATGGAGGACAAACAAATACTCAAATCCATAACCAGTGTCCGATTCAGATACTGAGCCTCCCCCAAAGCACACATGAAACTCCACAGATAGTGATTCATGCTTTTGCATCTGTCCCCACCATTTGTATAAATCAAATACTTTCCATGTCTAAACGATCCCTCAGATTCCACCACAGGAAGTGAGTCATTTACAGTTTCCCCAACAACAGGCCGACCACTCTCCATTTGCTTCGTCGATGTCTTCTCAAATCCCGCTTTCTGATTCTTCTTCATCTTCCTCGCATTCCCACCCGAATGATAATCTCCGATCCCAACCACACTAAGCGTACAATTCTCCCACCTAGAAATCAAAAAACTCCTATAATCCTTATAAAATGCGGCAGTCTTCCCTTCCATAGGCCTAAACCGCCACGCCATGTGGCAAGAACTATCATTGTTTCCCCTCACCGACTTCCCAAACCTATAAAAATGTATATCCTTATATTGTTCAATAGCAGCCTTCATCATCAAATGAAACACCTCCGGGTCAGTACAATCAATGGGTTCATCAATTTTCCCCTTACAATCAAGACTATTCTGATCAAGAACCTCGGATTCAACATCACTAGCATTTATAAACGTCGCAAATGCAGTCTGATTTGGGGCCATAAAGTCCTCACCGGTCTTAACAACAGTATTATCAG